GCAAGCTACAACTCCAATGCACTCTCAAGTAAATTCAAAACCACGGTCAGTGTGGGAGTTGCTGTGCAGAAAAATGTTTCTCAACTTTAAATGTTTGTGCCTATTACCTAGAATATTCTTAAACTGTAGGGTCTGATTAATTTAGATGGAGACTACATTCTACATTTCTAAATGGTTTCCAGATGGTGCTAAAGTTGCTGGTGCAAGGGTCACACTTTACATTGCAATGTTAGACTCCAGATAAAACTCTTGATAAATTATTGATATATGACATCACAATTGAAGTACTGGAAACACACATTAGGAAAACAAGCATCCGTGCTTCACAGATGTGGAAACTGAGATCTGTTGGAGTTAATAATGAATAATAGCAGATTAGTGATGCTAGGAAATCAATAAAATGTCTCTTTATTCTGTTGCTGAAGTATGTTACAGTCATGTTTAAAATTTTGACAAGTTTATGATTGAATATCTGTTACCAATAATCTAAGTCAATGTCACAGTGATAGTAGCCTCATTTGTATTTAATCATGCTTAGTTTTGTTTTGCTTAGTAACTTTTTTTTAACAGCACTCATCACCTGCAAACAGACCTCAACTGTCCTCCTTCCTGGCCTCACAATGCATACAATACCAGACTTTTTGAACTATATATTTGAATTACAGTGGCTCTCATCCTATTTGTGAGTTAAAAATACATTGTGGAGATTTAAAAATGCAACTTTTTTAAGATTCACCTCCAAGCTTCTGATCAATAAATTTGAGTGTGATAGGAAATAATCTTGTGTTCTGAATTAAAAAGAAAAATGGGACATTGTGAACATCTGTGGCATTCTTGCCAGAATTTCTGTTCCTGTTACACTATCTATCCAGTTCCAAGAGTCACTCCTTTTCCAATCTCAATAAGTAGTTTAGGTAATGATGCAGCTCTTTTTTAGTTCCAAGGGTGTCCCTTCCCTATTCCTACCAAAAAATGCATGATACAGTTCCTTGTCCAACCGATATGTTTTACAAAATGATACAATACTCAGTCTAGATCAAGGATCGTTAGTCACAACGCCTTCACAAGAACGTTTGGAAAAGGGCACAAGTTTCACTACAGAAATCACCAAGATAAAATAATTTTAACATTATGTTTCTGGTGATCATAAATAACATAAGAAAGATAAGTCTACTATAAACAGAGTAAATGAAACCGAAGAGAGAAAGCAGGGCCTGGAAACGATGGTATTATGTATAACATTATATAAGAACTTGCATCCCTGAGGCCAGATTTACTTTTCTTTTCATCTTTGCAGTCCATTATTTATCTTTTCCATCAAGCCTACATTGGCTATATTTTTATCTCTTGAGAGCAAGATAATTTTAATGAATGACGCAGAATTGAGACTGAAAGATTTTTGTGTTCTAACAGTTGTTTTATGTTTTGGTTTTCAACAGACTCTTTCAAAATGGAAATACATAATCTAAACTTAAGTCAGATCCATTCAATTAGTAGATCTGATGGTCTAATAGTTATCATCTCCAAATAAGGAACATTTAAAACTTTAGAGAAAAGAATTAAGAATTTATTAGACTATAATCTCCCAGTCATATGCTTTCTAATTAATGATTCAATATTACTGAAAGTTATAACATAAATGAGAGAACTCTTATTTCAAAAAAACAACTATATGAAATTGTTTGTTCTCAAGTGAGTGGCCTAATGGGGTCTTTTAATTCTTAATATCAGCATGAAAACCTAAAGTGTTGCTTTCTATGGCCACTTACTTCAAAATGTGATTTTACTTACAATGGTTTTATTGTCACCCTGGTAAATTTTCTTGCACTGAGAGAGATGAGCTTTTAGCAACACAAAATCTCAAAGTTCTGTGACTCTGTGGGCCCAGATTTCACCACAATTGCAATGGCTTGGGAAGGTGATTCTCAGGATAATTCAACATATCTCCTTGTCCTCATCTTTCTTAGTCATTTCCATTATTGAAAACTGACACTCCCTTCCACTGTGTATTTCCTTGAAAACTTGTCCCCCTATCTGATCAGGTAGCAGGCAGTATGTTCCTCAATAAGCCTTAAAGTAATATACAATAATTCTTATATATAACTGAATTTTGAACTAGGCTTATACAGAGGAAGACTCCAAATAAATGCATCTGCTTGATAGTGTTACCAGGGTCTACCTACTAACCAGTATTCTGAGGCTATGAATTTTAACAGGTTTAGTCACCTTTTTTTTTTCCATGCACTGTGTTGCTCAGACTTAATGTTCAGTCTGGTGCAAACTGTTGAAGCTGCCAGCAAAGACGGATGTGTTGCAACTCTGGCACACAAACAGGTCCATCTATCTTACTCCCAACGATGCGACACAGCCTTCTGAATGACCCAATCCCAAATCCTTGAATATTTATGATGCAAAAAAATCTAGTTCTTCCTTATTCACTGCAGCTGCAAAGAGCTATCGTGGATTTCAGTGAGACTGGAAAAAATAATCAAGCAAAAAAACTATGTTGCAATTTACTAGGGCTATCTTTTTGTCTTGCAGAGTAACAGGACAGTTTGAAAATGAGACTGTAGAAAAAGTGTACTTCATTTTGCTCTAAGTAAGGGAGTTTGTTTCTGTTTCATTGACATGTAGTCACCATAATCTTCTAGAACATCAACCTTTATATTTGGGTTCTACTTGCACATAAGAAGAGTTGCTTCTTAACAGGAGCAAATAGTGGGAAGTATAAATAGATAGATAGATAGATAGATAGATAGATAGATAGATAGATAGATAGACTCAAAACCCATAAGGCCCCCATGATCCTATAAATTTGGAGCAGTTTTCCTGTCCAATAAACCATATATGTATTTCTGAATGACTATAATTACTCTCTTTACAATTGTATTTTAGAAAAAGGAAGTATAAAACATAATTTCTTGTGAGGAGAGCATTATCACCTTCTAAAATTACTTATTCCAAAGGATGTAAATGCTGTAATGATCATTCTCACATACAGACTTACAGTAGAAGGAGACTAGAGTAAGTTTAAACAAAAAAGGGAGATAAACACTTGAGTTACATTGTACATGAAAGTGCTAATACAAAAGTATTAAAAAGTTATATCCCTGCTTAAAATTATATTCTGCTTAAATATTTCCTATCAGACAAATCAGTTTCATGTAAATATTAATATAGGAAAATGAAAGAAAAATCACCTTAGATTTTTAATAAGCCAATGCTATGTTTTAAAATGTTTTATATCATTTTTATTTATTTGAAAGAGTGAGATAGAGAAGACGGTTATATTCTATGTTTTGCCTGCTGGTTCATATCCCACATGCTTACAACAGCAGATGGACCAGGAGCTTGGAAATCCACCTGCATGTTTCATGTGGTTTATTGCATCTAAGTTTTCCAGGTCTAATTAAGCTGTTATTGTCTATTTCCTAGGTGCATTAGTAGAAAAGTGAATTCGAAGTGGGAAAGAAATGCCATTCCAGGCATTCCAATATAGTGTATGTTTGTCCCATGTGCCAACTTAATTTTTTGCACTGGAATGACAATGTTATTTTATTTTCAATTATACACACACATAGCTGCATAGTATGTATAAGTATTTAAATACTAAAATAACTAAGCTAATTGGACTTTATAAGGATATATCTATTTGTTCAAAAGCCAGAGTTGCAGAGAAAGGGAGGTGAGAGGGAGAGAATGAGACAGGATGAAAGGGACAGAAAAAGAGAGAGATTCCATTTACTTTTCTCACTCTGAAGAACCTCAGTGGATGAAATCGAGCCTGGGACTCTAGCTGAGTTTCACGAGGGGGTGGCAAGAGCTCAGTGCTTTTCCACTGCTTTCCCATGCGCATTAGTTAGGAGTTCAAATAGAACTGGAGCAGCTGGCACTAGAACCAGAGCTCCAATGGGATACCGGCGGTTTAGGTGGAGACTTAATCCACTGGCCATGCTGCTCTTGCAGATGTGGTTTTAATTTTCTTTTGTGGCTTCTGATTTCTCATGGAGTGTAACATGGCCTATTCAGTGTGCTTTACCCTTTAGGCTAATATTTTATTAGTTGGCAAATCCGCTGGTCATTCAATTCCATTATTTTTTTGATTGGCACACAAAATATTTGAGAAATAACGGAAATATAAATCTAAATGTTATAAATACCAGAGGGTATGCAGCATGCCAGTCTTCTGTACTAGTGGATCTGTGTGGGTACACATTGCTTTATTGTAGAAACTGGGCCTCTGTTCTCTGTTTCCAGAAACCTACACTCATCCAGAAAGCAAAATGTTCATTTCCAGTTACACTCAATTTCATTTTAATTTCCTAGGAGAATTCTGAAAATCTAGGCACCTCTTTTAACAGGTTGAAGATAATATCTAGCCGTTTTTATAGACTAAAAAGTAGCCAATGATAAATACGTTCTTATGAATGTGGATGATTAACTAAAATTACTATACCAGTTAAAAATAGACTCCAGACACCATAAAGTTGGTGAGATTCCATCTCTCACATTCCATCTTTTTAACCAATGAATATGGAAAAAACACACACACAAAAAGGAAGGAAAAAAGAGACAAGAAAACATGTCAACTTTGTAAAGCTAGCAAGGACATAAAGATCATGAGTGCCATCTTCTTCTGGGGCATGTTAGAATGCTGCCAAATTCTGCTCTCATTGCTGAAACTGCAACTCAGATTAAAGTGAGAATGGATGGATTCACACACACTGTTGTTTGTTAAACAATAAACTGAAAAATGGTGACATTAACCTCAAGAGAATGGAAGGCTTTTGTTTTGTGTTTTACTTGATTTCATCCTTACATATATAGTATTCATATATATACATTATATTTACGTTATAAGTATATTATATTTACATTATAGTATATCTAATACATACAGATATAGATATAACACAAGACTGTAGTTCAGGTGAAATATACTAGTCATGCAAAAAATTAATATGACTAACTATTTCATTTCCAAAGTGAAAATTACCAACCTTTTCGTTTTAAGGGAGGTTCTTCTATTTCTCCTAGACAATGATAAAAACAATAAATTAGAAAAGTTTTTGACATAGTACATTATGGCTTTACTATTTTCACATTTCTTGTGATTCATCTTACAAAAACCTATTAGATTTCACAATCACATCGTTATGTTAATTTGCTGCCTGAATTCTAGTTGTAAAATATAAACTTTGTTTATGTACATTTATTTGAGATGGTTTCATTTTTATGAGCTCAATAAAACTGTGGCCATGATCCAAATTCTACATTAGAGGTCATACATCATATTCATCTAAGTTCTTTATTGTTCATCTTGACCTCTCTCTGGGGTCAAAACAAATATAAATTTGACAAAGTTATAAAGGGGCTTTACTAATAAGTGCTTTCCTGGTAGCCAATGCTGACTACATCATTCTGATGATTAGCACTGACCCTAACAAATGTCATGTGACAAACTGAATAACATTTTGTTCTTGTCACATTCATTCAATGGGAGTATTAATGTTGCTTGAATCTGCGGTTTTCTTCTATTAATTAATATATATGATATATCACATGGCTCGGTAATTATTTCACCATTCAGAATCTTATCCCTTCCTTCTACATATGCATTTAGTTTAATACTTCATCCCTTTTGATTATACTTTTAGTAAGTTGGCTTCCTACTATTTGATTATGATTACTACTTATACTTGAACATGTATTTCTTGTTCTACTGTTTTATTTCAATTTTCTGAGAGAGAAATTTGAAAAATAGTTACTACTGTGCTTCCTTTGAAAGCATATATATATATATATATATATAAATTGGAATGATAGAGAAAATAGTTACTATTGTGTGATGAAGAATATAAATGAGAATTTCTAGTGAGGGTTTATGTTAGTATATATTAAGGCTCTTTCTACTTTAATGTTACAATAACAGAAGCACTTAATTTTGACATATTCAATGTCATGGTTGATAAGTTATAAGATGAAAACCAAACAGATCAAATCACTGCCTTTGGCGTCCTGTTGATATGCTTTTAGCATTCAGAAGTTTCTTCATTCTGGTATTCATCTTGGTGTTTAAACAGTCATTGTAATAGATATTTAATATTAGTTCTTAGACTCAGTTGTGTTTCTATACTCTACCTTTATCAATGTCCTCGTCTCCTTCATCATCTTCCTCATCACCTTCAGATGAGATGATGTCAGACAACAAAGAGAAGAAGCCATAGATCCAGTCCGTGGTTTCCTCCACAGCATCATGAACAAATTTTAGAGGATCTGAACCAATCTTGGCAATAGAGCTCGCTAAATGTAATTGAAAACAAAACAAAAGTTATTGCAACATTTTTTAAGGAGCCTAAGAAAAGATCATTCTCCTTATTTGATTTTTGACAAAATAAATATGTCAGTATCAAAAACTCAAGTATCAATTCATTGTGATTCTTTTGCATATCTTGTCATGCCTTGCATTTATGTTCCATTAAAAATTGAAATTATGGGATAGCTCTGGCCCCAAACATTGTGAGAAGTTTGAAATCCAAGTAAAACTTCAGTACATGGAAGAATGAGGAAGTGATTACAATATATTATGCATATACCCAGATTTTATATATAATGAAATGGGTGTTCAAGAATAGAAACAATCTTCAAAAAGAATAAAAGAAAAACAAGGGGCCAATTCGATGGTACAACTCACTAATCCTTTGCCTTCAGTTCCTGGCATTCCATTTGGGTAGTGGTTCATGTCCTCCTTGCTTCATTTCCCCTCTAGCTCCCTGATCCTAGCCTGAGAAAGCACTAGATTATGGCCCAGTTCTTTGGGACCCTGCACCTGCTTGGCATACCCAGAAGAGGCTCCTGACTTCCGGCTTTGCATGGTTCTGCTTTGTCAGTTACAGCAATTGGAAGAGTGAAACAGCAGATGGAAGATCTTTCTGTATCTCCTTCTCTCTATAAATCTATCTTTCCAATAAAGATAAGTAAACCTTTAAAGAAAGAATGAAAGAAAATAATTTTGACTAGTATTTTACTGAACAGCATCTTGGAAAAAATGGTTCTATAAGTTTGAGGACTTTAAGATCTCTAAGTTGACTAAAGTAGCTGTGGCAAAATTAAGATTGAGAGACATGTTATAATTCGTGATGTATCAGAAAAAAACCTGTAACAATTACAGTAAAGACCATATCAAGTTCAAGTTATATTTAATTAGATTTATCCTTAGTAGGTATTCTAGAACGTACAAATAAAAATTATTTGAACTTCCAATAATTTCAATGGCTAGAATTGTGAAAATCTATTTCATGAAATCTACACATCTTTCCGTCTTATTCCAAAGGAATATAAAATATTTGTGGAAAGAGAGATAAAATAATAAAAGATAAGAAAAAATAGTTTTCCAAAATGTTTTCTTCTAAATACATGAAAATGCTTCTAAGAAATAATAGTTTTATGATCTTATTGATAGAATAATGTATCTAGAAACATGGTATAAATGACACTTGATTCCTTACCAATCTGTAATTAATTTCAGAGTTGTGTTTTTTTCTTAATTTTAGAAACCGTTTCAGCATTTCAGTGAATCTTTTCCCTTTGATGTATTTAAGAGACAAGAATTATAGTAATGCATTAAATCTTCTAAAGGTTAACTATTGCAAAATTAGGCTTTTACTCGATTGAGAGAGGAAGTTATTGGAAGGTTTGAGCAGGGGGATGAAGTAATTTGATTTATGAAACTTCTTTTGCTGTGTTGAGGGTTAAAAGAATGCCAGGCATGAAACAAGGAGACAATCAGGAGCCAACTGTAATAAACCAGAAGAAAGATGACAGTGATTTCTACCAGAGTCTCTAAGCAGTTAATAACTCATATTAACTGCTTGGAGCATGCTTATGGGATGTGAGAACACAGAACAATCCTGGAAAAATTCAGGATTTTGGATGTGAGAAGTTGGAGCAATGGGAATGACATTTACTGGGATACGGAGAGGGGCAGTGGGAAGTGAAGAGAAACACACTTTTACTGGCATAGTATAATGGAAAAGTAGTTGATCTTAGACTTTTCAAGCTTAACTTGCCTATTATTCCTCCACTTGGAGATGTCAATATTTATGTTGCTCAAACTAATGTACAAAATAGTTTTATTGGGAGTCTAATAAAAGAGGAAGATATTCAAAGCAATGACACCTAAAAATTACACTAAGGGATGAGATGCAGGAATATTTACACATATAGATGAAAAGAAAGATAGGTCAGAAAAATTGAAGACCAGCTATTGATTCAAATAAAGATGACTAAGAAAAAAGACCAAGAGGGTGCCAAGTGTAGTACATGAAACACTCAGTGAAGAAATCCTTTCAAGGTGAGTACTGATCAACTGGCTGATGCTTTTTTGTGGGTCAGGTAAGATAGAGCACAAGAATGGAAATTTGGTTTTAATGATAAGGATGTCATCCATGGCCTTTGAACAGCCATGTTTTTATAGACAATCTACAATTAGAAGGAAAAAAAAATTGGAGATGGTGAATACAATTTATTGTAAATGATACAAATGAAGTAATATTTAAGAGCCTGAGTTACAGTAGTTTTTTTTAATGGTGGCAATAGCATGGTTTAGATAGGAAGAATATTCCAAAATTTACAGAGATGGGTTACATTCCTAAAGAGAAAAATTATCTGATATGAGAAAGGATAGTTGGGACATTTTTTTCATTTCATTTTTTTCTTTTGGGGTGTCAAGGAATACACAGATTATTCCAGATCCAAGTTAAAAAATACAGATCTCAAGCAGACTATCAGCAGGATTCCTTGATAATGTGTCTTCACTCTTCCTTATTTTAGTGAATTTCACAGTTACAGGTGAAAAAAGAAATAGCCTACAGCAAGATTGATCCTTGGGGAAAGAAAATGAAATGTGATTTTATATTTGCAATTGAAAATTTAAAAGGCAGTATCCAGAGAGGTGACCTAGCACCTGAAGTCCTCACTTAGCTCGCACCCAGATTCCATATGTGTGCCTGTTCTAATCCCAGTGGCCCTACTTTCCTTCCAGCTCCCTGCTTGTGGCCCAGGAAAGCAGTCAAGAATGGCCAAAAGCTTTGGGACCCTACAGCTGTGAGTGGGAGACCTGGAAGAAGTTCCTGGCTCCTGGTTTAGGGTCGGCTCAGCTTTGTCTGTTGTGGTCACTTGGAGAGTGAATCGTCAGCCAGAAGATCTACCTCTCTGTTCTCTTTTTTGTATATCTGACTTTGCACTAAATAAAAATATATCTTTAAAAATTTTGAAAGCATGATATGTAAGTAACTGGATTGTACTGTCACCTTAATGACATTTTTAACATTGGAATGTTTTATGTTCAATGAAAATACTGCAAATGGGAGTTTTATGGTTGGGATATATTGAGAAAATTTCCTCCTTCTCCTTTCTATTGAGAACTTAAAAATAAAATGCACAAAGAAAAAAAATCCCAGTCCAATCCTTCCTATGCTTATTTGAAATCAACGCACTTTGCAGACAGATGAACACTACTTGGCCCCAAAATAGTTAAATCAGGCTGTTTTCCTGAAATCAGTGTTGCTGGACAGAAACCACACACACACACACACACAGACTTAAATAGGCTAATAATCCTGAATTTTTCCCAATCCCATCTTCCACATATAACATGCAAATCACATACAGGAGAAGGATATTATGCAATATAACTAAAATAATGCTGCTTATTCTTAAAAAGGTAACACAGTTGTACAAGGACTCTTGCAAAAGTTCGTAGACAAGGCATATTATGAAAAAAAAAAACCATGATTTTGAAAATTTTTTTCACTAAAATAAACCTCTTCAAAATACTGTGTTGTTGTTTTTCAAAAGATGGATTTACAGAGAGGGAATACAGAAGATCTTCCATCCCCTGGTTCATTCCCTAAATGGCAGCAACAGCCGGAGCTTGGCTACTCAGAAGACAGGAGCAAGGACCTTCTTCCAGGTCTCCCTTGTAAGTGCAGGGTCCACAAGCATTGGGCCATCTTCCACTGCTTTCCAGGGCACAAGCTGGGAGCTGGGTGGAAAGTGAGGCAGCCAGAACACAATGTCACTTGAATGAAGAAGATTATCAAGAGAAGCCACCATACTACTCCCAACACAAATTTTTTTTAAATCCTTTTACCCACAAATGTTTTGAAATCAGTTTGCACTTTTTTTTCCTACTGTTTCCATATGCTCAACCACACACATAACAATTAGGATCAATATAAGATAGCAGAAGCCAGACACCATTCTTTGATCTCAGAAATATGTCAGTTTTTTTTCAATAAGCTGGCAAAGTGTTATTTTATCCTCTTGTAAGTATAGGAAACTGGGGCACAATGAATTAATTAAAGTTATCGGTATTGCCAAGAAATAGTGGTGCCAGGATTTTTAATTACATTTAGGCCTTCAGATCAAAATTATTATGATATATTTTGTCAAACAAGCAAAAATAGGAATCCAGTACATTTTTTCAGTTAAGGTTTTAAATGGGCAGGCTACAGAAGGCCTTTTTTTTTTTTCCTCTAAAAACAGAGAGAAAAGTCCTGGTAGCATTAGAATATAAAGGCTGGAGCTGCCAAAGTTATCCGACATTCGTGAGGATAATAGCTAATTTACTGAGAAAGATGAAACCAAAAAATTTGAATCTGTGATGGCTCGACTGATACATTTAAATACCCAAATCTTGCAATCACTTCATTTCTAGCTTTGCTACTGAGATAAGACATGTTTCTCAGTGTTCACATAACTTTTAATTGCATCATATTTTTCTTACATCACTGCTTGCAAGGGGAACTGCTCTAGGCTATCTATGGTCAATAATTGGAATCTTGCTGCAAATGAAAGAATTGCAAGAGAAGAAAAAGGGGTCAAGAAGAGTTTAACGTTAAATAAAGTTTTTATTTATTTCTGTTTTTGAAGCCATATGATATACATAATTAAATTTCTAAATCAGACAGTACAGGAAATTAGGCAGATTCTGTGATTTCCACCTAAAGAATCAAATATGTTCATTCACTATTATCTTTGACCACTGGTCATATATTTTTAAGTTATCTAAAGGGTCTTTCAAAAGTTCACAGAAATATATCTATTTAAAATTATGCATGAAATTCAAAAATTCATTGCATCAAAAATCAACTTGACTCTCAATTCCATTTTTCTGTGAGCTTCATAAAGCTCCATTTTATTTGATTCTTTTTTTAACCCTCATATCTTAAGAAATATCAAAAAGCTTGGACTCTGCATTCAGAATGATCACAGGCAACTTTAACTGTCTTTCCTAGTGC